CTACATCTAATTGGGGTCAACTAACATCATAGAACATTGTAGGTGGCTATTCAGTGGAATAGATAGTTGAAGATAATGCAGCTGGAATTTTGTAAAAAGGTCGTTTTACTTGTTTTTTAGTTTAGAAAGAAAACATTTTCAAAAGTGGATTATGAAAAGGGGATAAAACATATATTGTTTATAACAATTTCATTTTTACTGGTATTAGCTGGAAATCTTAGTTATATAAGATTGCATCGTTTTATAAATTGAGAGTTTGAGAAAACCCGTTACATACACCTTAAATTATTGGTTTTGCTTTCTTTATGTCTGATACTTAAACCATGTAATTTTTTGTGTACACATAATGTTTAACCTCTGTTGATTTTTTTTTTGTCCTTAAAACAGTGTAGGTGGTCAAGTCTCAAGGGCCTGAGGAAATGCTTCTCAAACTGCAGTACATATAGAGATGCATGTGCATCTTGTTAAGCTGCAGATCTTCGTTGTAGGTTGACAGAGCCTGAGGTTTGGGGGTGCTACAGACTCCCAGGTCAGTGCTTGCACCCAAGGCCTATGTTGTTGAGCACCAGGGATATAAGAGAATTGTAAGTTACCCATTCCTTGAGATTGCTAAACTTTGTCACGCTATCAGCATTGAAGTTAATCAGTAAATTTGTTTTACTAACCTTTAGTTCGCTGGTGCTTGGAGAAATTAAGCAGCATGAAGCTAATCCTGCAATTTGAGAATAGATGTAAGAAAGTCCTGATTATTTTTCTATTACTCTAGAAATGATTTTTCTATTACTCTATTAACCCATTTCCTATTGTGTTCCTCAGTGTCACATATGTAGGAGTTTTGACATGCACAATCAAGAATTTGAAGTGTTAAGAGTTTATTGTGATAGACTTTGGCTATTACTTTAAAAGATGTTGCTTATTCTTTGTCTTGGTTTAGTTGTCCGACTTGACTGTCCCATGGCTTAATTAAGAAATGTTTGTTTGTACAGGGAGGTTTCCAGCAGTTCATATTTTGACATTTGGTTACAGAGATTTTTTTTTAAATTCTCAAGTTATTTTACTGCTTTTCTCTTAGGAGCCAGTATGTCTACATTTGGTAGTTTCTTTTTCTAGTTCATCCATAGCTCTAAGCTGATAGCTCTATGTCTGTTGGACTGATGATCCAGAAACATTTTGTTTTGTTCTCTACCCCCAAACCTGTACTGTCTACCTACTACATCTTTTTATCACCTACTGTACTAAGTGAAAACCAAACTCCTTTTAAACTCCTAAAGCCCTGGATCGGTCGTCCTCTCTTAATTGAACTCTTAGCTTGTTTTTAAATATGTTCTTGGCTCATCTACAGTGAAGTTTTTCCTGTTCTAAATATTGGGCTAGCAAAAGAATAAAGTTGGGAAAATCATTTAAGGGCATAGTTGGTTTTATATATGCTGTTGAATTTAATCATAATGCTGGGAAGTTAAGCAGGTTAATCAGTCTCATTTTTGTGAAGATGTAGAAGATTGGTAAAACTTACCTGCACAATCCGGATTGCCATCAGCTGAGCTGGGTTTTAATATACTGTGTGTCAGTCCTTTTCACAGAGGAGGTTTCTAAGAGGAGGCATCATCTATCTGAGTCTTTAAAGAATTAGGTAGAATGGCTGGGCGTGGTAGCGCACGCTTGAAGCTTGTAACCCCAGTACTCCGGAGACAGATGAGAGGATTGCTGTGAATTCCAGGCCAGCCTGGGCTACAATAGTGAGTTCAAGGCCTGTCTCAAAAAAAACAACAACAAAAAAGAAGAGGTAGAAATTAAGTGCTTTGTGGGCCAGTTGGAGAAAGGTTTTCTATGGAGGAACTGTAGCCTCAGGAGATATATTGGATGTTTCAAAAGGATCAAAGATCGGTATGGATTTACATAAAGGAGTTTTCTAAAGTATCACTTTGTCTAAGCCTACTCTGAGTTCACTGCTTGTCTCATAAAACAGTATTTTCGAAGTTAAAAATAGAAAATAATTAAATTAGTTCAGTTTGTTCTAAAGATAGTCTTAACTGCTGAACTTCCTACAGGAAAATAAATCTGAAATTTTACATCTTCAAGATATGTAAATAAATTCTCTGCTGTAATTTTGGGAAGGAAAAAACAATTGGATTTATTACCAAGATAAACCCTGTGATATCATTGCAGAGCAGTTAAGCAGTGAACTTGTAAAATTTAGATTGATGTAATTTATGCAGCTTTGAACAACGTTTGGGCCCAGAATCAGTGTCACCTGCAGGCTTTTGTATCTTTTGATGGGTAATGTGATATTTCATAATGGATGACTTCACAAAATGTAAAGAAATCCATGAAAGGGTAGAAGTGAAATATTGGAAAATAACTTTTTGCATAATGCACTAATTAAGGATACAAATAGTGTACAGAGATACTTAGTTTAATATCTTCCTATATGATGTAATCCTGTGAAACTTACGCCTAGACCTTAAACATGCAAAGGTTCTTGACTTTAGGAGGAATAACAGTATTACTGTCACCACCATCAAATTGCTGAGGAAACATGAGAATATTAAGTGCTACCTGAAGTCTTACCTCCCCAGGACTAGACTTCAGCCATGGGAATGAGATGTTACATTCTTTGATGGCTCACTCCTAAAAGTTGGGAGAAAGTCACTTATAAAAAGGAAAGAGGCCTGTGAGTATAGTTCAAGGAACTCCAGCCCAGCATGTGGAAGGCCCTAGAAGCTGGGTGGGTTTGGAGACCTCCACTTTGTTACATTTAAGTGATGTGCCTAAGGACCGTTGGCTCCTGTGGAGGATTGAAAAGGTGGGGGAATAAACCATTACTGGGCTTGATGAAGATGATAATTTTGGAATAAGGTACTTAGTGAAACTTGAACAAAGTATTACCTTTTTGTCTAGACCTGAGCAAATGCTAATGCTGCTACAACAACCTAGTTGGGGGGGGGGGCTGGTAAGAGAAATTATATATCCCACTAAATAAATAAACTTTTCTTCACATTTATATTTGGTCTGTAATAGCTTTAAAGTAAGATTGTTATTGTTGTTCCTAAGTACATAAACCCTTCTGTTTTCAACTTGCTGAAGAAATAAGATCCAGCAGATAATACTTAGGGCCAATTCTAAGTCAGAGTCCATTATCCTTTCTTACTTGTTAATAAGATGCTATTGATGAGAGAGCATTCTAGTTTGATTTCAGGATAATGACACAGAATGTTATATCTGTACTGTTTATGTGGTTATCATGGAATGATTCAGAAAGAGACAACTCAGCTTTGAAATTTAGTGTATGTGCTGCTGAAGCGAGCACTCAGCTTTGAAATTTAAACAGCTACAAAAAATTATTTTGGAGGTTTCTTTAAAAAAATTAACCCTTTTCTCTGTCTCCCCTTTTCCATAATATGAGTTCATGATTGTTTAATAATGAGCTTGTTCTAATGTATTTTTTATCATCTAGAAATAAACACTGTCAAAAGTTTTGATAGCTCTTTCCATACACTTTAACTACACACATGTATTATAAAAACAGCCTTGTACTGTATGTACTGTTTTATAGCCTACTTATAAAAACTATATTATGAATATTTTTCATGTTGTTAAATATTCTAAAATATTATCGGTGCATAGTAGTACATATGTAATAACATTATTTTAACCAGTGCTCTATCATTGAGTGTTATCTGGTTTTCAGACTTTGCTATTAAAAGTGATAGTGAAGAGAACTTCATGAATAAATCTTTCAGTAGCTGTCTATTATTTCAGGATAATTGTTTAGGTAGTTTTATTTGTATAATGATATCTTTAGTGTTGATTTCACTGAAACAATGAAACTTGGTTAGAAAAGTTTTATTAAGTGTTTATTGAAAGCCTTATACCAGATATTAAGATGCCTTGTAGTTTTGTATTTCATAAGATCTTAAGCTGTGTTCAGCCCCACTTTTACTATGTAGAAATCTATATGTATACTATGTTTTGTAGTAAGTTATCAATATGTAGAAAAGGTTGCTGGGAGCAGTGACCCATGCCTGTGTTCCCAGCAGCTTGGGAGGCTGAGACAGAAGGATCACAAGTTCAAGGCCAACTTGGACAACTTAAGGACACCTTTTCTCAAAATAATTAATAAAAAAGGGCTGAGGATGTAGCTCAGTGTAAAAGCCCTGAGTTCAATCCCTAGTAGGAGAAAGAAAGCCAGAGAGAGACATGGAGGGAAGAGAAGGGAGATTAACAAAAGCCTTTGTATAGAGACCTGTTGAAGTCAGAGGAGACAATGAAAACTTACAGGTGACATTTTAAATTATATTTTGGCTTCTGAGTATGTATTACAATAAAGCTCTTATTTTTTGTGTGTTTTACTTTTAAAAAGAAGTTTTAGGGGGCCAGAGATTTAGCTGAGTAGTTCGGCTGCCTGCCTCGCAAGCACAAGGTCCTGAGTTCGATCCCCGGTACCAAAAAAAAAAAAAAAAAAGAGGTTTTAGGCATAAAAATGATGTTGGCATTTTTAGAACTAGAAGGAAAAATACATGATTCTCAGGAATCTTGAGTTTTAGTCCTTATTACTATTTTAGATGATTAATTTACAAATTATGTTTTATCTTCAAGTTAGCAGTGAATAATAATTGCCTACTAGGTGAAGATTTCTCCTCACTTAAAATTCCAGGCATGGGGGCTGGGGATTTAGCTCAGTGGTACCACCCCTGCCTCCCCTGCCTCACAAGTGTAAGGTCCTAAGTTCGATCCCCAGTACCAAAAAAAAAAAAATTCCAGGCATAGCTTTTTAAAACCTTGCACTTGAAAGATCTAAGAGGTAAACATTGAGTGACTGCATGGTGAACAGTGTCTTCAGGAGGAAGGGTAAGAGCTGTGAGATGAAGTGACTGTGCTTTTACAGAACTCATTTAGCATCCTGTGATTTTTTAGCCTACATAGCTACCCTGTTTTGATAAGAAGCATTGTTTTTAGGACATAGTATTTGTCATCTAACGCAGTGATTTGTTTTGTTTCAGTCACATTGACCAGACAACAACATGGCAGGACCCCAGGAAGGCCATGCTCTCTCAGATGAATGTTACAGCCCCCACCAATCCACCAGTGCAGCAGAATTTGATGAACTCGGCCTCAGGTGAGCGAGACACTGGAATTAGCCCACAGAGTAATGCTTATGCATTGGTAAAACTTGTGGAAAATGATCATTATTTTTTTAAGGAAACTGAGACACGAATGGTGTTCATTTTCTATGCAATTTCATTTGGAGATATTTTATTTCAAAATAACATGCTATATGATAGCGTTATTTAGTCATTACTCCATAAAGGGTCTTAATAACAGAAAGCCAACAGTTTGCTAAAGGTTCGGTTCTGAACCTTTTCTGAAGTATTTTTAGATTTCTGGTTTTGTTAATCATGACATGTTTGTGTTTTATTCTGCTGCTTTCTTGCCTCAGGTCTTTAATTGATGTTTTCCTCCTCCTTTTTGTTGTTTGGATAGGAAGCCAAGCTATGGTATCCCCTCCCCCTGCAGAAGAAAAAGAACACAATTTATTACATGCCTGGGTCATGGGAATATTAGACTCCAATATAAGACTCCATGGTGTTCTTAACTTACCTTTTAAAACTGGTATTTATTCTGCCCCAGAAATACAGTACCTGAGAGACTAACTCGTGAAACCCAAAGAACTGTACTTTCTCCTAGGTCTAACGTGTTATTAAGCACATCTCTACCTTTTTCACAAAAGATAAACCTGAAAATGTAGATTCAATTATTTGGCAATTTACTTGAATCTGCAAGTTTTCTCATATATAATGGCATGTAACAATGCTCCTTATGATGGAGAAGAAGCAATTAAAGGAAATTTTATAATATATATATCTTTTATTATACTTTTATTACAGAGTAAGTACTAAGTGAAATTTTAGTTTATCTTCCATAATCAGATACTGTCTGACCTCTTTTCTACTTTAGTAGGTGGGTCCAAGGCCAGAGCTAGCTCATTATGCATCTATAGGAAAAAGTATGTATTGATCTGGGCTGGTTTTCTGCTCACTTTCCTGTCCCCCATAGTTCAGGATATCAGCTGAAGTATTAGCTCTGGTGCTCTTGTTGATTTTCTCCTTCATAACCTGTCTGATTACTCTATGCAAAAAAATGACCATAGTATTAATATTAGGAGCTGCACTCTAGATTTTCCCAAGCAACAGCCTTTGTAAAGGACTGTTGATGGTAGGGAGGATGGTACTGTTGTCACTTTGACTAAAGGATTCACCGAACTTGAAATGTTCTGCCCTGAAGATGATGTCTTAAGTATGGGAATATTTCTGCTGTTCTGTAACTCTGCTCTCACTTTGGGTGGGTTGGAAACTTGACTTCTAAAGAGTTAAGAGGTGAAAATGAAGAACAAGGCAAAATTCATAATTGAGCTTTTCTTATCATAAATTTACTCTTGATGAAAAATTCCTTTCATCTTCATTTGAACTTACCATAATATGAATTCATTTACGTAGTCTCAAAAGCTGTTTATATGTAGCATTTGATTTAAATCTTAAAAAACTTAAGGGAAAAATTACATAAGTTTTTAAATTAATATTTGTACTTGACAACTTATTTTTTTAATCACCAAATTTTCAAATAGAAGTTATAAAATCTGCCTTGCATTTGTGGTCCAAAAATGATAATTTACATTATTTATTTTGTCTTATTCCAGCCGAAAGTATATGTAGGAAATTAGCAACAAATCAATCATTAATTTAAATCATATTTTGGATGATTAGATGTTTTGTCTCTCTGACAAGATTGATTGTGATTATTTTAAAACATTGGTTTGTTTATTTTCTGAATATTATGGCCTAAGAAAATAAGAGAATTTGGGCTCAAACTTACGTTAAAATCAAAAGCATGCATCATCTTGGTTTTAGTGACTTTTAAAATAATATGGATATTTTCAAATGTCTTGTAAAATATGTTTTTATACCCCAAATATAAATTAGTAGACATGCTTACTTAGAGACATATTTAGCAAAGAGACAACATTGGCAGGAACAGTTACAGGGGAGTGGTGAGAAACACAACTGTGGTAAGTTAGGAGTGAGGGAAAGAAGGTATGAAGAGAGAGTTCTGGTTGGAGTTGGAAGGGAGAACTGAATGAGAAAAGCAATGTCCAGAGAGACTTGAGTATATTTAAATCGTGGTAGAAAATGATAACAGTAATAAGTTCTGTTTATAAGCCAGGCATTGTGCAAAAGTCATTTTGGACTATCTCATTTAACCCTTATGATGGCCATTAGTTACACTTTGTATATCAGAACACTTGAGTAACTGTCCCAAAATCACACTTTTAAGTAATAGCAGCCAGATTCAGATTTTGGTAATGAGCTTCTAGGTCCTATGCTCCCAATTGGTAAATGAGTCATAAATAGGATAAATGACACAATAAAGCTTCAGAAAAAGCACCCTAGCATCCAAAAAGCCCCACCTATGAGCACAGAATGCTTTGGGCTAACATCTAGGTACAAACCATAACATGTACTAGGGGAACTATTTAAAAATAATAGTACATGTACTAGGAAATTGGTTCTTCAGAAGGGGGATGTGTGGTCTTGTTTGCTGAAGGAGGCTTTGTGTCTAATAAAATACACTGTCCTTTATATAGTAGAGAATGTTTAGAGAATACTTGGTCATTGCCTTTAATGGAGATGGTCAGACAGTATGATTAAAGTTAGGAAAGGAAGAGGCTAGTTGACAAGTATGGGGAGAGCAAAGTAGTCAACAAAAGTTTGAAAATGAGAGTGAGGTGTTACATTGGGTATATAGTCATTCTTGGTACCCACAGGTCATTGGTTCCAAGACTTAAGTGTATCTATCCGCTTGTATACTTTAAGCTTTCTGTAGATTACTTTTAATATTAACACAGTGTAATTAGCTGTATTGTTTACATAGTAGAAATGACAAATCTGTACATGTTAGTACAGGCACAATTTTTTCCTCAAGTATTTTCTATCCATTGTTGGCTTCAGGAATACACAACTCATGAATAATGGGAGCCAGCTGTGCATGAAAATTCCTACTTAGACAAACATAAGCCTGGATTCTGAATTTTGTCACAAAAATATAAATGGAGATGTAGCTGTCAAATCAAGTGCTAAGGCTTTTGGTAATATCTGTATGAGTTTCTTTCTGAACTACAAGAACTTTTATATTGTCTTTCATTTCACTAGATATTTAAGAATGAAAAGGACTTCCACAAAGTTTTGAAAAGCTTTGGAATGAATGTCACAGGAAGAGAACTGTAATCTTTTGGTGCTGGGGATCCAACCCAGAGTTTTGTGCATGCTAAGCACGTGCTGTAACACAGAACAGTACTCTCAGCCCCATGGGAACTGTAATCTTGATATACCCCATTTCACATAGACTTGTAACCATAAATTACAGCATGTTAATAAAAGTTTCAATCTAAGAACTTCTTTTTATCTAAAAAGCAGCTGTGGCATGTGACAGCTATATATTCTCTAGTGAGGTTCATGTCACAGGTTCCTAAACAGCTTTAAGAGAGAATGATCTTACTCTTGGGTCAAGGATTATACAGAATGTAAAGTCATCTGATTTTATCTCTTCGAGAAAACCAGCAAAAGCACTGCCCTTCTGTGCTTCAAAAATTGATCTTATAGAAGAATCTTTAAAGCCTAGAGGCAGCGAAGGAAAGTTGTGAAGGTATTTAAGTAAATTTGAAGGCATTTCCACTGTAACAAAGCAGCAAATGACTTGCAGCTAAGCAAGCTATCTTGCCTTCTGAATCTAATCATCTGAAGCCCTCAGATAAAAGAGAAGCTGTTTGCAGCATTTTACTGGGTTAATCAAGCTAAGTACCAATTTATAATTTTACCACTAATTATTTTTAACAAAAACTTTCTAGTATTAATCTTTTAAAAAATTGTCCTTCAAAATTTGAATGCAGATTTGTGTTCTGTTCTGACTTACTCAAAATATGAGGTTGAAACCATGTATTTCATTACTAGAAACCTGTGTTTTGTATTTGGTCAAATTTCCAAATATGTGTATGTGAGAAACTACTCAAAAACAAAGGTATACCAGGCAAGGCTTATTACATCTCATGAAAAGGATTAATTTATAGGTATTATTTAACTGCCATGTAAATGACAGCATATTCTGTGAAGGATTTTAAAAGATGAAGATAAGAGAGAAAGGGGAATTTTTAAAATTAAAATTGTATGTATGTCTTGCTGTATTGGGGATTGAACCCAGGGATGTTCTATCACTGAGCTTCATTCCTAGCCCATTATTTTTAAATTTGGAAACACGGTCTTGCATAGTTAGCTAGGGCGGCCTCAAAATTTATGATCCTCTTGCCTCAGCTTCCTGGTAGAAGGATTTGAATAATTCATTAAGATAATGGTTCTATTTTCCTTTATTCCATGTTAAAATTAAACATACGTATACATGTATGAACCTTGCCTATTAAATTACTTGGTGATTGCCCTTCAGAAGCTTTTATTATGTGATATGTTTATAGTATAATAATAACTTTTTGATGCATCCATTGAGTCTAATATACATCTTCACACTAAGATTTAGGTAAACATTTTAGTAATTTTTGTGTTCTATATTAAAAATAAGAATTTGGGGAGAGAAGAGTGATGCTACTTTTAATTATTTGTATGATAAATATTAAAATTTTTAGTAGTTGCTTATTAACACTGATTAATGAATCTTAAAGTCAAGGAATGTACTTTGTAATGATTCAGAAATACCTGTATGCCAAAGAGCTGATAACTATTTAGGATCACAAAAATTAAGCCAGCAGGATGCTATACTCCTAAAATCACAAGTACTCAGGGGGGCAGCCTAGGTAAGATACTAAGACTCTGTCTCAAAAAATAAAATCTTTTATATACATTAAGCAAAATTATTTAACACATTTACCTGCTTTTTTAAAGTAAGCCTTTGATAATAATCCAAAACCAAAATGTGTTATTTTGGGTGTATTTTAAAGAATTCATTCATTATTTTTAGTCTTTAAAGTTATTGGCATTTACATTGAAATTGTTGGCATTTATTTGACTAATTACCAAATCAACCATCGCAACTCTTTCATATTTCCCTATTATGAAA